ACACTTATAGGGAAATGGTGTTCCAAAAATATGAAAGTAAAATTATTAAGGAGATGCTGAAGTTGTCTTGATTGACCAGGACAGAAAATCCCTGTTATCAGTGAGTTCACTGCAATTGCTGAATGATCTCTCATGTTATTTCTATTTTGTTTAGCAAATATCTATTTCTTGAAATAAGCATAGTAGTATCTTCATGCAGGGCACCTCTGTATTGTGTTTTGACAGGATCTTGAGTAACCTTCATGCTTTTGTCCTATCATGTGCAATTCTAGTATTGGGGATGGGGATTCTAGAGTAAATTTCAAATGTGAAGCAGGGCATTAAAGCATACAGCAAGGCCTGATTGGACCAGAACATCCAGGTGGCATACTAAGGCTTTATCTCACCTGCAGAAATGGATACAAATAATGCTGGTGAACAGAACTCTTGAGTTAGCAGTGATATATGGTCTAAATATATGGTACAGCTGGCACAAGCTCATGGAGGTCTAACTAGTTGTTTGGATGTTATGTTAATGTTGATGAAAAACTCACCTGAGTTCATTCTTGAAAGAGAAAATAGGGAATTGTCATTGGAAAAACCCTTTGGTAACTGAGATTGAAAAGAAGAACAGAAATTGTTGTTTTCCTACACATAGGGGAAAAATATAAACAATGGTGTTCAGAGTGAATTTGAAAGCAATGTGATTCCAGTCTATAGTGTGATAGCTTTTAAGATGTTTCCTTTCACATTATATGGTTACTTTCTGTCCAGGCAACTCATACAGATTGTGTCTACTGAATCTATATTAACTGTCCTACTCTTTCTATAAGATATCATGGTGCTTGTATTTTCCCAACATACTATATATTGGATGTTCTTTCAAATCAGAGGATTATAAATTGTTCCATTCAAATTGGTCTTTAAAAAAAAAAATCAGCATGGTGCAAGCACAGGATTTTGCATTTGGAAAGAAACAGTTCTAATCTTATTTCTACTATATAGTGCATGAGAAATAGTGGTATTGTATGTTATTTTATGTAATGCACCTTGCAAACTGTACCTGCGTTTCTAGCTCATGGTAGAATTTAAATGCGTTTTTCTCTTCTGTGGAAAGTAAGAAAAGGAAAGCTAACCAAATAAACAAATGGAAAAAAAAAATAGAGTATTTCAAGTAATGTGCCACATGGTTTAAGGTAATACACTATTATTTCATTAATTCTTCTTGGGGTGCATGTCAGGTGCATTTAACAGAATGATCTTGCAACTAAATATTGCTAAATTAATGATTATTAAATTCAAAGGCCCACTATATATATATGTATAAATTTTAGCTTCTGAATATTTGAAATTAACTTCAAATATATGGAAAACATGAGGTAAAAAGTTATAGATGTAATACAAAGTTAAAGGTACTACCTAAAAACCAAAGTTTTGTGTACTTTTAGGTTTCTAAATTCAAGCATGCCAGTTTTCACCTTTATCACTGATAATCTCATTTTGTATGTATGTGATTCTACTTAGTAGGATGCATTCGTGTAAGAGTTGTGCTGATTCTTGAATAGAAATGTTGTATCTCACTATCCAAATTGTGAACTTTGCTGGACAAGCACAGAATGTGATGTATGTTTTTTGTTGTTTTAAATTGCCATTTTGAATGCAAACAATAAGATATTAACACTGTATTTGCCTCGTGCATGACTTCTATGTGAATATTAGCTATACTTAGCATGATTATTAGTCTTGTTGTTCAGCAGAAGTATAAGCAGGTAAGTCTTCATCTGTGCTATACTTGCTTTGGTGTGTGAGTTTTCCAAAACACCATGGCTTTTGCTTTGCGCTTAGTGTATTCCCTATACTAGTGTGTCTTGGAATTTGTGATGGGAAAATAATTTTTTTTTCCTATTAAAAGCTTCACTTTTATTCTGCTTATTTACCTGGTTAGAATAAACTGTTATTCTGTTTGTTCACATAGATGTTGTTTCATGCTGTGGAGTTATGTAGTAGTTAGATTCCCTCCCCAGTACCCCCTACTTTGGAGTTAACTGCATAATGGAAAGTGGTTTTATCTTATTTGGGAGTAACATGCATGTGATAACTAGTGTGACAAATCCTCATCCCAGAGTCACAATACAGTCAAGGAATTAGACAAAAAATCTGCCAAGAGTAGAATTCAGCCAAAATTGCATATATATATATATATATATATGCAGTGAACCTTCTCAGTTTGCAAAGTAAGTGAAAACATGGCTTTCACGTAATAGTTAATGATAGTACGCTATGATGATGACAGTTTCACATGGAGCACTTCTTTGTGAAGCCAAGCTTGACTTTGTCAAGCTGCCAAAAGGCAAAGCTTTCCTTGCCTTCAACAAGCACTATGAGTTACAAAATCAATCTCAGAGTATACCTTTATTCCGAAGCCAGTAACTGGTCATTTTTTAAACTTTGTAAGCTTCTATGTTGATTACTAAACATGAAATATCAGATCTACAACTGTAGTATTTGGAGAGCTTTTTGTGTAGTGTGAGCAGTAGATTATTGAAGTCCTCTCTGCTAGACAGTAGGAGAGAAGTTTGCTGATGACAGTAACCTTTACTTTTGGCCATGCTCTCTTCAAAACTCCTTTTGTTGTTATTCTGCTGCACCTGTATATAGAGTTCCTACCCTTCAGCCGTGCTACCTTGGACAAACATCTGTTGCATCAATCTGCACGTGTGCATTAGTGTCACAGTAACTAAAGTGGTTGTTCAGCAAAACCTGTCAGGCTGGTTGGAAACTGGTGATAGTACCATCTAAGAATGTTTTTTTGAGTGAAAGCAAACCAGTTCGGTGGGTTGCAGCACTGGGTAGGCTTCAGTGGTTAATACATCCAGTACTGGATTTATGATGATAGCAATCCGTGCAAGAAGGTCTTGGTAGAAGGTGTAAGATGTCAATAAAAACAAGACCAAATAGCAAGCTTGCAAATTGAGCTTAAGATACCTTTCTGTAGTAATATGGCTGCTTTGGATCCTTTAGATAGTTGGGATGATGTTTGTTTCCAGTGATCTGGGCAAAAATGTGGAAAAATGCAACCTCCTGAGCTAGTGGACAAAAGCATCGTATTCAATATATAGTTCTGTGATTGTCTGAAGTTCTTGCAGAGTATCTCTGGCCCAGGCTCTCAGGGATAAAAAAACCTCATGTGGTTGCTGGCCTGAGTGGAGCTATGCTGTTTTATACTGGCTGCTTCTGAGGTGTCCAAAGTTAAATAAGAATGATGTTGTTAAAGATTAATCAAATCTGACAGATGAAATAAGAATGTTATTTTCAATCAGTTGATGAGTAGTTCTTTTTTTAACAATAAATGCTTAGACTACCTTTTTGCCTGATGTATTTACCCACCAAATTTTTAAAATTCTCTGCTGAGCAGTCAGAAGATGACTCCATTAGTGCACAGAGAGACTGCAAAATGGTGTTTTGTCTGTGCCTTGTAACCTAGAAAAAAAACTAGCAGTTGCATTTGTCTCATTACAGCACATTTGTTTGGTCCTTAAGGTTAGTCATCTACATATATTGGTAACCATCCAAATTAAGTTATACACTATGGAAGGTCTATATACTGAGAATGTTACTTCTAGAGCTGGAAAGTTCATTTTAATCACTTTGCTCTTTCTCTCTAACCTTAGCACTTTCTTTACATCACCAGATTTTTTTTTTTTTTGTGGAAGATGTAAAATCAAACAATTTGAAGTGGATCCATCATACAGCTTGATTCAACATAATGCATAGTGCCATTTCTCTCTCCATGGTGTTATGTCTTGAAGTCCCTCTTTCTTTCTAATTTCTTACTGTATGCACACAGATGTTCTGACAGAAGGACAGAGGATGTGGTATAGAATTAGGCCTGCTTGTAAAAATACATGGCAAATTCCTGTATCTCTGTAATAGACTGTTTACTAATGAAAGAGGCAAGAGATGCTCCAAATTAAGCAAGTGTCAGTCTGTGCTTTCTGCCTTATTTTAAGTCTTGTCTCCTGCCCATTGTTGGCAGGAGTGTTTTATCTGTCTGATGTAGCCTACTATGTGTATCACAAAGTCTTTGAGGAAAAGAGCTGAAGCTTTTGAGGTCTGTAAAATGAGTAAGCTGTACGCTTGCTAGTTCTTGAAATGTGTCTGCAAGCAGCAAACAATGCAAATAAAACCTCTCAAAATGCATAGGATTTTTATAATGAAAAAAGGAAGAATGGAGGAGAAATACACATCAGAATAAGAGCAGGGACAAACCTTAGTTTATTTTTGATCCTTCTTCCTAGTCTGAACATTTAAGGTCAGCCACTCCCAACAGCTGGAAACTGTTGGGAATTATAAAACCAGAAATTATACGTGTGCTTTACCTGTGTTAAGTGACAGCCTTTGGGGATGGATGTGTGACTTGATTGACAAGCAAGGATGTGAAGGTCTTTGAATGCATCCAAAAGAGGGCAACAAAGCTGGTGAAAGGGCTGCAAGGCATGTCTAGTTTGGAGAAAAGGAAGTTGAGGGGTGACCTCATTGCTCTGTGTACAGCTTCCTGAGGAGTGGAA